ACACAAAAATCCCAAAGACTTTACAGGCATCATAAAGTCTGCCTCTGTGGTTGATTAAAAAAACAAAAAGAAAAAAAGGGTACAACACACTTATAATCCTACTTAAGGATTATCTTTCTCTGACGTTAATATAGCACAGTTAACAGGGAGATGCTTCTTTAATTGCATGAATAAAAGTATAATAAAAAGAATCTGTATCAGATTCCTTACTTTTTAACACTAAAATACTTAATACAAGGGAATTTTATGAAGGACGCACAATTTAAGAAAGTAAATGGTACAGAAATCATGTAACAGGTAAAGTTGCAGCAAGCCAGCCCTGATTCCAGGTTCTTTTACTTGAATGTGTAAGTAGGGAGTGTACCATTCTCTAAAGCGGGTCTTTCCCCACAGGCCCAGTTGACAGACAGAAGGCAGACTGTTAATGGTCTACACGTAGCAGGCAGAACTGGCTCTGCAGCAACACTGAGGAGTGCTGTAAAAACTAATGCTTAAAGTCAGGAATGACCCCAGGCTTAGTATGTGTTGCACTGGCAATAAACAGATCATATTTATTTTTCAAGAAACACTGCTTTTTTCCTTCAAGGAATTCTGGAATGTCAGCCCCCAGGGTGGGACTGTCTCTGGTTAAAGTTTCTCACTCATAAACTTAGCTAGAGACCAAGCTTTAAGAGCAAAGTAAAAAACGTAATAGTATAGGCAACGCAGGGAAAAATAACCCCTTACACAGGTGGAACTGTCATGAAGCCATTACCAGGCAAGATGGCTGAGGTAACAAAAATTCTGTTACTAAAAACTAAAGCCATGCTAATAGCTGTCTGATATCCTGACCTACTCAGACAGAAGCAGAGAACAAACAACCCAAATGGATAAGTAGAACTGTTTTTTAATGGTATTTATTCGCATACTTGACATTCTTTTTAGCCCTATTTTTAAAGCTCAAAACCAGGGTGCAGCAAATATGTGAGAATACAGTAGGGGCTGGTCTCCCTTGCTCTCTCTTTCTGCTTGCTTACATCTCAGACTGTGGGCTGGTCATTGACCCTCATCCCTCTTCCAGGCCAGGTTCCAGCAAAGCTGAGGGGCCAGTCACTCTTGCCCTGTAAACTTTGACAGAATATGAACTGTAGCTTCCACACTACCTTTGATGAATCCAGCTGGAGAGGCTCTACTCTCAAATGGAAGAACACAAACACTGCTTCTACAAGAGGGCATCAGTCAGTGCTCGTGGTGCTGAATTCAACACTCACTGAGCACTTTCTGTACCAGGCCCTGTGCTAGATGCTGAGGGTACACACACACTCTAAAGTAGCCTTTGTCCTCTGAGAGTCAAAGTCCTTCTCCTCAAAGGCTCACGTTTTAGTTGGAGGAATAGACACAATAAACAAACTAATATATTTCAGATCATGGTAATAAGTGCAATGAAGGAAATAATGTTGAAAGACATAATCCCTAACAGATATTCATGAATGACAAGAAATGCTGTAAGAAAATATGCAAACATTTTTAATCACCAAACTTCCATACCTCTCTGAACCCAGGCCTCCTCTGGTGTAAGAAGAGTTGAGGCAGATAATTGCTAAATTCCAACTCAAAAATTCTATGATATTAGACCTTAAAAAGAACATTTTCTGCTGAACTCGACCAGTCCCATTAAATAGTTCAATAGTTTTGATTTTAAAATAACTGAATACTATTAAAATTTCAATAAGGCAAAAACACTATAAGGAGAGATTAAAAAAACAATTATGTGCAGCATAGGAGTTCTTATAAAACCAAAAGAAACATGAACACTCATTAAAAAATAAGAAATGTGAATTTTCAATTATAATGCAATTATAAAAAATGCAATTATAAAAAAATATTTATTATTCTTTTGCATGCACTAGATTCTCAGTTCCCAATGCAGTCTGACACATAATAGGTGCTCAGTAAATGTTTGTTGAACAAATGAATTCAATCTAACCAAAATCAAGGAGCCAGTTAAAACATTCAGATCTTAAACAGTGTGCAAGGTTTAAAATAATGATATTACTTTACTTGTGGTAAAGACATAATGACTGTGGAAATCTGTATTACCTTCCCGAAGGCAGTTAAAGTGCCTACCCTTTTTGCCTAACAAAAGGTCCAAGTCCATTTCACTATCTGGTAATTTATCCAAAGAAGTAATCAGACAAGTGCCCAACAATGTATGTATAAAAAATCAGGGTGTAGCAAATGTGTGAGAATACAACAGGGGCTCTTATTGTGTGTATAAGAGTGAAAAACAGGAAACGACTCTAGATAACCAACAATAGGGAATTGGTTAAAAGAGATATATCGTATCAGTTCAGTTTGAATACTATGTAGTCATTAAAATGATATAAATGTATATTTATCAACAAGGAAACACCACTATGATTATTATTAAGGTATAAAAGCAAGTTACACATAGACGCAGCAATTCCACTCCTAGGTATACACCCAAGAGAAATGAAAACATGTCCACGTAAAAACTTGTCCACACACATTCATAGCATCATTATTTGTAATAGCCAAATTTCCAAAACAAATGTCTCTTGACTGATGAAAAGATAAACAAAATATGGTATATTGATAGAATGGAATATTATTCAGCTGTAACAAGAATGATGTACTGATACATGCTACAACATGGATGAACCTTAAAAACATTTTACTAAGTGAAAGAAGCTAGTCACACAAAAGACTACATCTTGTATGATTTCATTTATAGAAGATGTCCAGAACAGGCAAATCCAGACATAGAAAGTAGACTGATGGTTGCCTACAGCTGGGTGGAGTGTGGGTAACGGTGAGTGACTGCTAACGGGTATAGGTTTCTTTTCGGGATGATGAAAATGTTCTGGAGTCAGACAGTGGTGATAGTTGCACAGCTCTGAGAATATATTAATAACCATTAAATTGAACATTTTAAAAGGATGAATTTTCCCAGTGCCATTTTTTACAGAAATAGAAAAATCCATCCTAATATTCATACAGAATCTCAAGGGACCTCAAGTAGCCAAAAGAGTCTTGAAAAAAAAGAACAAAGTTGGAGGTCTCACACTCCCTATAGTGATTTACTACAAAGTTACAATAATCAAAACGGTGTGTAATGGCAAAAAGACAATGCAATAGAACAGAAAGCCCACAAGTAAACTTTTTATGCATATGGTCAAATGATCTTTGACAAGAGTGCCAAAGCCATTCAATGGGGAAAGGACAGTCTTTTCAACAAATGGTGTTGGGAAAACTGGATATCCACATGTAAAAGAATGAAGTTGGACCCTTATATCATATACAAAAATTAAAATGGATTAAAGACCTAAATGTAAGATCCAAAACTATAAAAATCCTAGAAGAAAAGAGAGGAAAAGCTTCATGACATTAGATTTGGCAATGATTTCTTAGTATGACAACAAAAGCATAGGCAACAAAACCAAAAATAGACAAATGGAACTATATCATCAAACTTAAAAACTTCTGTGCATCAAAGGACGCTATCAAGAGAGTGAAAAGGCAAACCACGGAATGGGAGAAAATATTTGCAAATCATATATCTGATATATCTGGTTAATATCCAGAATATATAAAGAACTCCCACAACTCTACAACAAAAAACAGAAATAACCTGATTAAAAAATGGGCAAAGAAGGGGCTGGCCCAGTGGCGTAGTGGTTAAGTTTGCGTGTTCTGCTTCGCTGGCCTGGGGTTCACCAGTTCGGATCCTGGGTGCGGACCTACTCACCACGCATCAAGCCATGCTGAGGCGGCGTCCCACATAGAACTAGAAGGACCTACAACTAGGATATACAACTATGTCCTAGGGCTTTGGGGAGAAAAAGAAAGAGAGGAAGATTGGCAACAGATGTTCAGGGCCAATCTTCCTCAAAAAAAAAAAAAAAGAATGTCTTAAGGAAAAAATTTAAAAAAATAAAAAATAAACATTTCTCCAGAGATGATATACAAATGACCAATAAGCACATGAAAAGATGCTCAACATCACTAATCACTAGAGAAATGTAAATCAAAACCATAAGGAGATATCACCTCACACTATTAGAATAGCAACTCTGAAAGGAACAGAAATTAATAAGTGTTGGCGAGGATGTAGAGAAATCGGAAACTTGTGCACTGTTGGTGAGAGTGCAAAATGGTGCAACCACTGTGGAGAAATTATGGAGGTTCCTTAACAAATTGAAAATAGAACTACCATATGATCTAGCAATCCCACCTCTGGGTAATGCTCCAAAGAACTGAAAGCAGGGTCTTTTGAAGAGTTATTTCCACACTCATGTACACAGCACCATTCTTCACAAGAGCCAAGAGATGCAAACAACCCAAAAGTCCACTGATGAATGGATAAACAAAATTTGGTATATCCATACAATGGAATATTATTCAGCCTTAAAAACAAAGGAGATCCTGTCACATGCTATGACAAGAATAAACCTTGAGGACATTATGTTAAGTAGAATAAGCAAGTCACAAAAAGACAAATACTGTATGATTCCACTGATATGAGATACCTAAATCATAGAGACAGAAATAGAATGGTGGTTGCCAGGGCCTGGGGGAGAGAGGAATGGGGTTTTGTTGTTTAACTGGTATAGTTTCAGTTTTGCAAGATGAAAAGTTCTGGAGAGTGTTGCACAACAATGTGAGTATACTTAATACTATTGAACTATAGGCTTTAAAATGGTGTAGATGATTAAAAAAAGGGTGGATTTTATGGTATGTGAATTATAGCTCAAAAAAGAGTTATGTGAAAATTTTTAAAATGTGAGTTACAAAACCATTTGTAAAATAAAAATGTGTATATAGAACAGAAATAAAATGTAACAATCTATTGAAAAAGGTTAACAGTGTTTGCATGACAGGTGAAAATCTATATTTTTCAGCACTTGCAGACTTTTCTTCTGGTGAAAATGTATCACCTTGATATATAAAAAACAAGGCACTTTCTCTATTAAAGGGGTTAAAAACAAGAAAGGTGATACCTGGGCTGGAGTGTTTGCAGTCACAGGAGATGGCGATTCACTAACTTTTGGCTCACTTGGGGACGCAGCTGACCCCTGTGACTCCTGGCTGGCTGGCTGGTCTGGAGACAAAGCATCACTGCTGTCTTCGTCAAATGAGAAATCGCCCTGAGTTTGGGGATAGTCCTCCTTCCCAACGCCTAAAGAAAGAAATGATTCTTAACTTATCTTGGCCTTGGCATACCAAGCTTAAAATGAAAAAGAAGGAGAAACATTGTTTATTCTGAGAACTTAAGGAGCTGGTAAAAAAAAAACCAATTGAACATAATGTACTTCCCAATGGAAGAACACACCACTACCTATGGTGAATACTTGGGGGAAAATAAATCTAACCTGAATCAGATCAAGCCTTTGGATCCAACTACTAGTTACAGGAAGTACAGGAGACAAGAATGTTTTTAATGACACCTGGGGATGCAAATGCAATCAGTAAAATCCAGAATGTGGAAATGCTAGAGGACAAAACAAGCCTGTTCATCAACAAATAAATAGTAAGAAAAGAAAGGAGGAGGAAGACCCACCCAAGAGATTAAGACTTAAGAGACATATCAGCCAAAGGCAACGTGTGGACCTTGTCTGGATTCTGATTTGGAATCTAGCTGTTAAAAAACATTATGAGGCAATGGGGAAAATGGGGCTATGACTGGGTATCTGTTAATAAGTCCCACTGGAAGGAGCAGCCCAGCTATACTGACAGCTTACCTTTTGGGGTCCATCTCTTTGGGATTGAATGGAATCATAGTTGACTATATTACTTAGAATTATTGACTACAAATTGCCTAAGATTTAAACTCATACTAATGTAAAATATGAAGTGCCCCATGAGTAATGGAAACTATAAGAGTTTTTAAAGTAGGATATTAACTTTTCAAAATTGCTTGCAGAATAAGTGGCATTATTCTGGAAAAAAATTTTTTTCTGCTAAAGCTTATGCCAGAAAAAAAAAGGGAAACATTAGGAACTAAGTATGGTAAGATTGGGATAAAATGGACAGATGCTACCATTCTTAATGAATACATCTACACTCATCTGCTATTCACCTTGCTGAACTAACACTGAACAAGCTACTTTTCTTTATCTTTCCTAGAAGTAAATAGAACTAAAGTAATGAAAAGTTTATAAAAATCTTAAACAAAAAACAACAGAAACTAAACAGTATAACACATTAAGTTTAACTTAGAAAACATGATAACGAAACCAGAACTTAAAGACTTAAACTTCAGAGGTAACAAGAGGAATCTGTGTTAATTGGTAAGAGATGCTAGTCTTACAATACATAATATGATAACAATAATAATGGGAATCAGTGTGAGTTTTAATCAATTTCTAATTCACCCAGAAAACAATACTTATGATTGGTGTTGGTCTTTTTAATCAAATTTGTTTTATTTAAAACTTCTAAGTTTTTCCTTCTCCCAGAAAATAGCAAATTTTTAGAGTCTTGCCTATAATTGCTTCCTTAACACTGGAGTCTACAGGAAGGATGTTTTTCTCCACCAGCTCCATAGGACCAGGTCTTTGAGCAATCTTTTCATTCAGATCATCAGCTAGTCGAGCTCTTTTCAACTTCATCTGAGTAGCCTGCAGGGATGGCTCTGCAAATGTTTCTAAAAGAGGAAACACAGTTTTAACCATTACTTGAATTACTATCTCTATTCATTAATGTTATTTCAGGCCAACTAATTTAATTTAAACTGGTTAAACATATTTATGTGTTCTCAACATATTCATGGAAAGAGAAAATGACTGTTTACGAGTGCTCCAGTATACATTTTATATTTTCAGTCCTGGATATCCAGCTTTATATTGTCTATACAGGATGGATGCTCTCAGACTCAAATTAATATAAACTCAAGCCAAAAATGGGGTACTGCTATTGCTCATTTATGATAGGAGGGTCAAATTCACATTTATTAGGTATTGGGGATACAAAGGATTAACAAGACAGATGTGGTCCGTGGCTCAAGAAGTTTACAGTTTTAGATCTGGCTTCATTGGAAAGTCAATTCCTAGAGGGGAGACATTACATCTTAGGATATAAGACTCTCTGCAGGAGTCAATGGGAAGAGCTAGAAATTATACTCTTGGATTGATCCCTGTGTGTCTCAGAGTCCAGCAGCATAATAAAGAATTTGGGTTTATTTCTGAATATATAACCTTGTGTCTGTTAGGAACATTCAATTACATGGTAATTAATGATCTATAGAAGCATCAACTCATTTACTTACAAATGCATAAAGGTGTACAACAGATGTGAAGCTACTATAAATCATAACTCATTCATTTGCTTAATTCTGTCAATTACTTGTATTTTTGGTAACTCATTAACATTTTATTCCATTGTTCTAAATAATGTTTATCATTGATTAAAAATAATGATGAAGTGTTAAACCCAAATTTCTGAGTTGAAAGTTGCCTGTTTCTTAAATTATACAGTAGGTCTTTTAATGAAATTCCCCATAAGTAATCTCAGGATTAACTGCTGTTTTCCATTCTGTAGGTAAAATATCCTGGCTGAAATCCAAAGCTCACTGAAAAGTCCAGAACTGACACACTAATCTCCAGCACATCTGAGCGCTTCTCTTTCCATTTGTTGAGTTATATGCTTACCAAAAGTCAACCTTGATTGTCCACAAAATAGTTCATATCTATTGTGACTGCTACTGTCAATACCTAATTTAACTAAACATTACCGGAAAATGATAAACTTCAAAAAGAAAATTATTATTTCTTGGAAACCTAAGTTAAATGCTTTGGAAAGACTTAATAAAGGTGAATCATTAAAAAAAAATCACTGTCAAATTGGGGCAACTAACAACTGTAAAAGATTTGGGAAAAAATTGTAAAATCTAGGGTTTTTAAACTCAGATTGCTTTTCAAATGTCTTTAAATTTTTGTTCTACCATAAATGGAAATCGTAGGTCACGTATAATGGCTATGTTTTATGCAAGAAAGATGATGTAAACTCCATTCATCAAAGCCTTCCCCAAAGTGAAGGCCCTAGCCCTAGTTCAGAATATTGGCAAATAAAGGCACACTTCTCTAAGTTAAAATAACATGTGAGCCCATCTCACATTTATAATTTTCCTGTATAAGCAACTGTGGCCCCAATTTTATTAGATAAAACACTTATAGCCATATAGGAAGATGATAGGTAGGGATTTTCTTCCCAAATATGTTCCTGATAGCACTTGGATGGTGTTAAGGGGAGAAAGGAGAAAGGCAGATTATCCTACCTAGATCTTAACAAAAGCATTTAAACATCAACCTAAGAGTGATTTGGGAAGAAAATATTCCAAAAGCAAGTAATTAGAGGCTGGCATTTTGGTATGTTTCTATTCCTAGTCTTATTACCTCCTCATTTCTATGAGGCTGAGGCTGGATTTTAGCTGCTGAACTTCAGAAAATAATTTAGACTTTTGTCTGCCAAACATCCAATCCAATCAAAATTAGGAGAACGTTAAAATAAGTTGGGGGGTGGTTTTAAGGTATTTTTAAAATTATAGATGACACATTCTTTCTTACTTCAAAAATCCCAATTTGATGGAGGAAGATGGGCACAGATGTTAGCCCAGGGCCAGTCTTTCTCAGCAAAAAGAGGAGGATTGGCATGGATGTTAGCCCAGGGCTGATCTTCCTCACCAAAAAAAAAACCCAACTTGAGAATAGATGTCACTTATGGTTCATTCATATACATGATTAGGTTTTTAAATGTTGGGTAGTCTTTTTTTTTAACAAAAGCAAAGATGATTTCTTTTGATAGTTAAATGTATTTGCCTTGGTTCTAATTACATTAATAAAGCCCGTTATAGTTAGAAGGCAAGTTGAAACAGACAGCATTGTTCCTACAAAAATGTCCCTTATAGGTCAAGATATTTTCAGGCCATTTACCCAGTTACTTACCAGTAAACTTGCTTCTTTGAAGATCACTTATCCCTGACAGCTGATAGTCTCTCCTACCCTACCACTGGAGTTCTGGAAAAGCTTTTTCAGTCCAGTAGACTTCTCAGAACACAACCCAAAGTAGAGAAAGGTATATACCTCTCACCTCTTGCCTCAGATATGAAGATAGTCACATAATCCTAGATTCTTTGCATTAGAAGAGACCCTAGTTGGGATTATGGAGACCAACTTGATGCTTGGAGCTTCTTTACAGCATCCTTAACGTGGTGTCAGCCTGTGCTTCTTCCTTATCACAGTAGCCTGCATGCCCCACAGAGCACTTTTTACAATCTGGAATTCATTTGTTTGCCTGTTTATTATTGGTCTCTGCCGCTAGAATGTAAGCTCCATGAAGGCAGGCATCCAACTGGCTCACTTATTGGGTCTCTGGTATCTAGCTTGCTGGCCGATGAACAAACACCTCTAATAGTGGCAACTGTATCACTTCCTGAAGATTGTATTTTTGGACATGTCTGACCTTTAGGATATTATTCCTTATGTTGAGTTACAATTGAGTGTTTTGTAATGTCAATCTAATTCTAATACTAACTCTATCATTATGCCAGAGAGAACAAATCTAATCTTCCTTCTGCCTGATAATTGTCTCTAAACGTTTGAGAAGTTTTCAGATTCTTTCTATATCTTCTCAAGGTTTAACACACTCAAGACTATCACAGGGTCAAGTTCCTAGTCTTGCTCAATAAGTTAGAGAAGCAAAAGAATGAAAGAAAATGTAACTTGGGAATTTATGGTGGAGATACCGGCTTTCAAGAATGCTCTGTCTTTAGAGAGAAAAACCCCTGGTCTAAGCCATGTGTCTCACCAAAGATGGAATGGAACTCTCTCTACCAATTTCATAAGTGATGAGGCTAGATCATGGAGAAAATTTGGTGGGCTGAGTAGAGGGTGTTTATGATAATGGTCAGATCAAGCTAGATTGTTGTGGGTAAGCAGCAACAAAGAGAAAATGTTAGGTGTGGGCATTGTACCAGGCAGACATAATAGGGCCCAAGTAGCTGAAAATTTAAGGTTAGATTTGTGGCTATGGTACTCTTATTACTTAAAGAGCAGGCACATGTCCCTCACTGATGCAGAAATCCTCTGGACCGAAAATGTTTTTCCAGAACAGTATGGTAGAGATACCTATGGCACCAGCTGGTGGGGAAGACTCAGTCCATCAATTGGTTATTTGGAGAATCAAACCTTCCCCATGTATCTAACATAACATTTTAGCTTTGGGTCTTCATGTTGCTATCCAATTTGGAGGATGTCAGCCTGTGGGGTAAAAAGTTATTAAAATGGGAATAAATGGAAATGGTGGAATTCTCACATCTTTTCTTGAGAAAATGCAGCAAAATAAGCAGAAATAAAACCTTTACCTTCTAAAATGTGCATCCTGACAAGTTCAGAACGATCTGGTCGGCTCCGAATCTTGTGTTTCAAAAAGTTTTCAGTCTTAAGAAAAAAATAACGAGAAAGTCTTACCATAAATTGTTTATGACTTACTGTGGTTTTACAATTTTCTCAAGGTACTCCATTTAAATAAACTGTATATCCTTTTTGTCATGATTTTGAGAGGAAGAAAAGAGTAGAAATTAGTACTATGAGAAATTATTATCCAATACATAATTTAAACTGCAGCCTTCAAAATCGTACAGGAACTTGAAGTGTAGCTGGTATAAAGTAAGCACTTTATAGACTTTTATTTTAAAACTTAAAAAAGGCAAAGGCTCATAATTTTGAAGATGATTTTTGAACAGACATAGGATTCTGATCATTTGAGTATCTAAATTAATAAAATCTACACTTCAAGTAAAAATCCACCTAGATAACAAACTTCCTAAAAATCCTAATGTATCTTCTTTGATGAGTTCACATCCTTGATCATATTTTCTTATTCAGAACTGTACTCAACTCTAAACAACAGGGCTTTAAAATGGGTTTTATATTTTATAAGACTCTGAGAGATGATTCCTGCGTCCTGGGAAAATTCTTAAGGAACTTTTGGAACATGCTTACTTTCATATCACATGATAGAAGTTTTCCCTAGAACAAAAATAATGAATGTGCATAATGGTATTTTTTAAAGAAAAATAACAAACATCAATTTAATGTGCAACTAGATGGAGTCATCTCAAAGAATAAAGCAGAGTTGAATGTAGCAATATTTTTTCATTCCAAATTCTCCTACCCTTGCTCCAATGTACAGGTAACATAGACCCAATAAGGAAACCAACTAAGGATCTGGTGTCAGTACAACACTTGGGCTGTCTGCCTCCAGGGGTAACAAATGGCAGAATTACTCCATTATGACTCTAAAAACTGTTGTTACGCCCTGAAAGCTAGAAAGTGAAGAAGTGTGACTTGTCCTTTATGTACAAAACTAGTTACTGGTTTTAAAAGAACAAAATTTGAATGTCATGTATTGTCCACAAACCTCCAAGATAAAACTACCGCGGAATATATTACTTTATACACTATATATCCTGAAAATACGCTACATTTTCTCTACTGACATATTTAGGAGGAAGACTGCTACCTGTCTACAGTTACTTTAAAACACAAGAGAGAAGTAGAACATTTTAAACTGAAATTTCTTACTCTGGCTCGTTCCAAGCTTTTTATCTGCTCATGGAATGCCGCTGGGCTCTTCAAAGCTATGAGAAGAAAAGAAATCGTTTCCGTGGTATAAATAGAGGAGTTAATACTTCAGTCAAATGTTACAGTATATCATGTTGATGTTTCCTCTTAGTCTTATTCGTTTGCATCTACGGTTCCATTTATTTACCAGTTCTTTTAAGAGATCTGCAAAATTTGAAACCTTAAATGTTTCAGAATTAAAATTATGTATTTCACAAATAAAACAAGTGAACGGTTAAAACAGAATTGCATATATAATGACAATGCAAATAGTTCCAACCAATAGCTGGGGAAAATTACCACTACCAGGGGAACTGTTTGATGATTCTCTGACAGGTCTTTCTTCTTAATGGCCATATAAGCTATTGCCCACAGGACATTTAACCTTGGAGTGATCTAACCTTGAACATGAGGACACTCTGCACTCCATGTCTACCAGATCTGAGTTACCATTTACTGAGAACCCACAATGGGCTTAGCCCTGTACTCTGTGGTCAATCATGGTTATATTGTTGTTGATCATCACAATAACCCTGAAAGGTAGGTATAGCCCCAGCACAGATGAAAGACTCAAAGAGGTTAAATGAATTCTTGAAGTCATATAGCTAGATGGTGGTCAAAGGGGGATTTAAATCTAGAATTTTTGAATTTGAAAGGTTCATGCTCCTTCTACCATACCACAATGCAACTCACTCTAAAGACATAGTGACTCTTTAATATGTTAACTGTTAGTACATTAAATATTCCAGAATCCCAGAGTGAGGGTAAGCAGTGTTCACTAAAATATCACCTACTACAGTATTGCTATCAATTATCTTTACAGAATCTTTTGTATGTATTTCCACCATTGTCTGATAACACCTGGCACTTACTATAATCGTGGGCAGTCAGATGATGTGGATGGGGCTATTACCTCCAAGACGTGGCCAATCAGCTCTTGGTAACATAATTTTCAGCTCTGGTACTTGAAGCACTGCAGACTTCCAGGAGCCCAGCCGAAACAGGTCTGGCTAAGGACCAGCTCCCAAAAGCAGACTAGAACTGGCTTAGCAGTGGTATCTTAAACATTATAATTTGATCCTATTTGATTGATTGGTTCATAGTCAGGAATGTAGTGGTGGAGAAATCTGGCAGATTATCAAACCAGCTTTTGACTCTATCTCACAATGCTAGATTTAAAATATTTAGATAGTCAATTAATAGTAGTCCAGAAAAAAAAACTTAATTGGGAAAAGTTATCTACTGCAGAGAAAAATCATTCCTTATCATAAACCAAAAAAATGTAGTATCAACGATTCAGAAGACTGGGATGCATAAATGCATTTTGTAATTTCCTTCTGGTTTTTTAAAGCCAAGTAAGTTACTCTTAGAGAAATCAATTTTTAGACTAAAATCCATATAAATAATCCTACCAGCCTACACAACACAACCACTCTTCCTCTCTAAAACAGAAAATCACCTCCAAACTTGGTGATTAAAGGTAGAAAAGACAACTTGGACAAATATTCTAAAATTAATCAACTCTCAAAAATGAAGAAATGAAGCCTAGAGGTACTTGGGAAATATCTGTACTTGGGCAAGAAAGATTGTATTAATTATAAATAAAATGTTTATTAGTCTTGTAACTGAGATACACTTATTATATAGATCATACTATAGCATCAAAGATAATTAATTTGAATTAAATTAAAGAACAAGGTTTTTAATTAATTATGTTATGTTTGCAAGTCTAAGTAACATTGGATCCATTATGTAGAGCGATCACTTCAATTATTTCAAAACTAAAAAAAACACTGAAGTTTGAAGAACTGATGTTACCCTAACTACAGAGTTTTAAAAGTGTTCTTTGTATAATATAAAATTCAAGTCCATCTTTTAAGCTGCATCTCGTTTTCAAAATGTATTTTAAATGATTCTCTTAGGTTGGCAATGCTGATGCCCAGTTTTTCCCTATAAACTCATTTGGTAACTGTACATTGATTCAATGGATACAACTGTAAGTAGAGTGAGATACAGGTTCTTCTTGGACATGCCCATTTTGTTATATCACATTAGAGATGACAATGACACAAATCTTACGTGGCATGATGCCCTGGTCCACTAGTTGTTCTCTCGTCCTCCTTTGTTGCAGCCTCAGCTGGAGCACTGTAAAAAGGAAATAATCACCATTGGAGTCTATAGGCACCTGTAGGATCCAACTTATGAAGTTCCAGAAGAAATATAACTAAGCTTTATCAAACATCTTCTATTTCATAACTGAATACGGATACTACCTGGCACCATCAAACTTGTAAAAAGAAACTCAGTTTGTGATTTCTGCCTGTTTGGTGAACTCTGAAGTTCTCTGGGCATATTTTTTGTTTAGTTAATAATCTTAATTTGATGAACAAAGCTAAGTATTTGCTGTTTAAATACAATCACATAGTACTCAGCAAATAAAAACAGTTGGCTTATACACTGGCTTGTTAATAAAAAAGTCTTATTTGTAGAAATGAAAACGTGAGATTTCTTGACATGCCTTAGTTTTTTTTTTTTAAGTTAATAGCAAAACTTTATTTTAAGGAAAGACTGACTTATTTGGAGGGATTACGCCATTTGGAGCAAACTTTAAATAGTTTTAATGAAGGCCAACTGCATAATAAAAATTAGTCCTATGAGCTATTACTGACGACCCAAAGGAAAATTTCTAAATTAAGAGCTTAACGTTTAATAATCTTTGCACAAATGTAACACCATACCTCATTCTACAAATTCTAAGAAAGTCACAAATCAATTGAAACCTTATCATTTTAATAAAAAAGAGTAAATAAATAAATCATTAGAACTGGTAAAGAATGAGGTATATGTCACAAAATGTGGAAATCTGGTTTGCCAAATTTAATCAAAACTAATTTTTTCCCCCAGATTTCTCAAGCAGATTCCTTTCATAGCATCTCTATATTTTTATCTGGAAAAGGAGCCAATTTCAAAAAAGAGGAATATATGAAATAACTCTGAAAAATATTTTTCTTGGTTTACCTTATACTCAGTTTTAAGTTTCCACTTTGATTTTTGTTTCAAACCATGGATGAAAACCAAGTTTAGGATTATTAAGTTCTGCTTAAGGGTTGTCAATAAGAAAAAAAGAAAAATTTACCTATGTGTATTTCTTAAATGGTAGGGAAGGAAGACAGAGAATTTTCTAGCAAGGGGGTGATGGCTGGAACAAGAGGCTGGCTTGGACCAGTCTCTTACCCAGGCTCAAATGCAATGCACGTGATGGCTCCCACTTGCAATAAACTCCAGGGCCCCTGCCCTCCTATCCTTTGCTTTTTGCTTGCCCTTGTGCTTACTGCAGAGCAGAGCACAATCTTAGAGATAGTTCAAAAAGAGCCTAGACTGTAAAATGGCTTTTAAACATATTTTCTTATTCATTGCTAGATATGAATGTCATCCTTTATTAAATATTGATTTTTTTTTGCTTCTTTTGGCGGTCATAGGATCACAAAGCTTCACTGACATCCCATTTAGAACTGAAGCAATTAAGATTCTATCACACAAAGCAAAAGAAAAATTTAATGAGTCAAAAAAATATATGCACATGTTTCTCACATTAAAATGTTTTGTGATACTTTGAGTCAATTATGCTCTAAGACAAAGATCTTTTCCCTGATAACTTACAGTTTATTGAGGATGGTATGTTCCCACTGTACTTTACTAGGAACAAAAATAACCAAGGAGATGAACTGTGGATCTGATAGTACCCAAATGCCTGCATCCTCTAACATTCTTCTATGAATGCTAAAGTTAATGCTTGTCTGAAATTAAGATGGCCATATTCAAGAGGCAGAATTCCAAGAAAAGAATACTGAGAGGAGAAAAGGGTCAGAACAATCTCCAGTTCAAAGGCTGACACTTCTGGAACACGATGGTCCATGTCTGTTGGAGAACCTCTAGCAGTAGTAGCTTTCCTTTCTCCTGAGGGAATCCTCAAAGAAAGGAGTAAAATAGAAAGGGTAATGAAAACATAAACAGCCCTCTTCTTTGGTTTAAAACAAACAAACAAAAAAAGCACTGTACTTGTGAGACAAATATATCGAATGCAATAGATATTTTGGGCAATGGCATCTCGGGATGATGGATACATTTGCAACCACTTGATCTGCAAGTCAACACTGATGATAACAGCTTGTTAGTCTTGAAGCGTCTCCTGATTGTACATTGGTCAGCTGCCCTCATGCACCTTGACAGCAGCCCTGTCAGCTATACCGTCTTTGACTAGAAATCACACTTTCAGGCTGATGTGTGGAGTTATCTGCTAACATGAGGGTAACACATGAAATGAATGCATGTCACTAATCGCCAATAGTTAAAATAAAACAAAAATGAAACAAGAACCATTTGTGTTTTCCATCCAGTTTTCTACATGGCAAAACAAATGAACAATCCTACTTATGTCATTCTGCTCAAAGGTAGGAGAATAATCTTCCCAATCGATGCTCTCATCATTGCCTATATAATTTTCCCAAGAAGCAATATCATCACACTGTAAGTATTACTCAAAACAGTTGTGGCAGGCAGCCTTCCCCAGGCATCTTCGTTTATTAAGAGACTATTAGGTGTCTGTTAGTGACTGCAAGGTGCATGTATGGCATACATGGCGAAGAGCAGCAGCAGCTGTGAATGGAAGGTCCGTTGTTAAGCCAAGACATTAGGAAGAACATGAATAGAAGAGGAGGCAAATAACTAGTTATGTTGTTAAGACTGTTGATTACCCAGCTTGATTTAGTTTTCATCTATACCAATAGGTGGGCAGCACTGGATACATTATACTGAATATGAGGCACAACGCCCTTCCAGAGTGAGGTACATTGCCACTTTTGGGTCAGTGTTGAAACACAATTATAGTATTTGTTCATATTAAATATAACTAGTCACTCATAAGTTGATAGAGGCTCTTCTCAGAACAACTAATGGTTGTAAAAAGTATCAATCAGGGGCCAGCCCCATGGCTTAGTGGTTAGGTGTGCGTGCTCCGCAGCTGGTGGCCCGGGTTCGGATCCCGGGCGCGCACCGACGCACCGCTTCTCTGGCCATGCTGAGGCCGCGTCCCACATACAGCGACTAGAAGGATGTGCAGCTATGACATACAGCTATCTACTGGGGCTTTGGGAAAAATAAATAAATAAATAAAATTTAAAAAAAAAGTATCAATCAAGTAGGTACAGGCTCATAAGTTGGGAAAATATCAAACTTCCTTTTAGTACTTATCACTCATTGAATTAGTAAAAAAGTTACCATGTAATAAATGACAACCAATATCTGCACCTTACAGGCAGAACGTCCAAGGCCAGGAAGAACAAGGCTTGGATGATGTAGACAGCCTAATTGTCCTGCAACACTGGAAAACTAGAGTTGGGCAGAATTTGGTAGTGCTTATCTAGGACTGTGAAGGGGGTAAGAGACCCTGAAAATAGAGGCCCTGACACTATTAATGATCACAGAGGCATTCGTGGTTGCAGGATCAAGATGCTTTCTCAAGTTTCTCTGGGGGACCGTCTTCTTCCCTTCGCAGACTCCACACTCACGTCTACACAGTGGGAGGGAAGGCCCAGATCACTGAATGCCACTGGGCCTGTCGCACAGTTGTAGTTCTTAAGACCAATGAATAAACTGGTACACTGGCTGATCTCTGGAAAACCTGACATACTCTGCGTGTGTTGACAAGACTGCATTTCTGTAGCCACAAACAGAAGACTAGACACTGGTCCAGCACTGCTTTCTTGTGGCGGCAGCGGGTGGTGGTGATACAGCTACCTAAGGAGCCAGTCTCCCTGGCGATGGCCTCATGTCCAAAAATCGAACCAAGAGCTCTCTCCCCCTGGTGCCTAGTTGAGCTGATGAATGTGCTACTGGGCTAACATTATAGCTTCCTTCCTATTGGTAAATTGACTAAAATTCAGTATCCTCCGTGGCCACCTCACAAATAATTACATGCAAGAAAAGAAAACATGTAAATCTGTGATAGAATTCTCAGGGAGAAAAAAGTTCAAAACACTCAGTGAGTGAATGGCTACACCTTTCAGAAAACAAACGACAGTAATAATAGAGTTGAAATAAAATTCATGTTACAATTGCTCACATTTGAATATTTTCAAATAATGTCTTTATCTTTGAAAAATGTAGAAACAAAATAATCCAACACATGGTCCTAAGAAGTCCTTAAGTTTAAAATGGTTGGGTTTAAACCTGTTTGATTTTTCTCAAAAAAAGGGAGTGGCAGATATAAAAAAAAAATATATATATATATATCATTATTCAGCTGGCATTGTATTCTCTGTGCAAAAATAGTTACCATGAGTTGAAATTCTATAACAGCTCTGTATTTCCAGACGACAAAACTCACAAGAGGTATGCAAACGACCCCCATCAATAGAAGGAGGTGAGGTTATAGAGCCATCTGCTTATCATATGTGTCATCTTTGTTAACTAGCCTGAGTCCAAGTCTTTTATTTTTTATTAAAAAAAATCTTCTTACCTATTATAAGAGTGATATATGTTCATTACACAAAATGAGGGAATATAAAAGAGGAGGGAGAAGAAACTAAAAAAGAAAATCACCAGTAATTATCATCACCCAGAGAAACACACAACCACTGTTACCATATTGGTATATTTCCTCTGTCTCCTAAGTGTAACTTTTGATTCTCTGCTTCTACATACTATGATCACACTGTACATACCATGATAAACATTCTTATTATTTCAAGCTACATAAAATATTCTGTTGGGTGGACATGCCATAGTTTACTAAATACCCTCTACTGTTTATCATTTAGGTTGTTTCCAATTTTTGCAATTATAAATAACGCTATGATGGAATTTTTGTGTATAAAGTTCATTCTTTATTTCCAGTTGTTTCCTTAATTCCTAGGAGAAATATCCCCATGCGGTCCATATAAGGCATAGCCATAAAGTAAGGAGACTAATTTCTTGGTGTGCAAACCATCATCTTTGAAATTATAGCAGACGTGTGGGAACATGCATACAGACTACTTTATATCTGTTGCATTTAGAGAAAAAAATTTTAATTAATTATTGAATTTTTCCAAGATGATGTCTTATTATCTCTTAGGGCTAACGTTCATGGTTTCCTATTACATTTC